TACGGTGACAAAAATTGCAGTTTTGTCTCACTATGACGATTTTTCCAAGTAAATGTACAAGGAAGAAGCGAAGAGATAGAAGGAGAAAAGAAGATGAGCCGAAGGACAGAGAATCCAGCTCCCCCCATCGTGCATATTTCTCCGTATTCTTTCGGCATTTCCCTACTCTTCCTCGTCCCCACCCTCGTATTTCCTTCTATCTCCTCGATGCCAAAGAACAGTCTGACAATGGCTCTTTTTTCCGACGACGTCCGAAGGTCGAAACGCGAGACGAGCCGGTATCGAATGGGAGTAGCGCGACGGGGCAAAATGGCGAGCCTAACGTTCACGTAACCGAGAGAGGCAGGGAATCCCTCCACATACGTGCGCGCACCACACACACACACACACACACACACACACACACACACACACACACACACACACACACACACACACACACACACACACCATACATACATCGGCTAAATCTAGCACGCGGTTTTTTCTCGAACGGCCACAAGGTCGATTAATTATGTTCGCGTCTTTTTGTGGCTCGTCGGTCACTATGGAGATCTCTTTCTTTCAACGTGGTGCGCTTCGCGCATCTAACTCGCGCGTTGCGCGTTGCGCCACAGGAAAAGATAAGAGACGATAAAAAGACTCTCGCCTCGTGGAAAAAGATTTTGCGGATAATGTTCTCTATCTGTATATTCAGAGAGGCGAATAAGCAGAGATGCGATCTCCGACGAACGCACGCTTCTAATCATGCGATCGAATATGGCGGACGGGAGAAGACGCGAACTGGAAAATCATATCCGCGCTTGCACAACACACTCGAGCGAGTAACACCAGTTTTGTGCAACTGCAATCCATAACCGGTTATTGTTAGTGACAAAATGACCGCCGGCTTCTTTCTTTTTATGCTTTACGGGAAAAAAAGATTTGGTGACGCATGTGAGGTTACACATAGATAAAACCACATGCAAGCATGAAGATAAAAATGATAAATATATATCGATAGGTAAATAATATCCGTGTAAAATTTTTGACGTAATACTTCAATTATTTTCTTGTTTCTTAAGCTGTCTATTTAATTTTATATATTCAGTTTCTTCGCGGGTTATTAATGTCTATATTAATCATTATGGTCTATTAAATGTCTACTAAAATATATTAAAGATACAATAAAGCTTTGTTATTCTAACAATATACTATTATAATAGAAATTGTGTGTATTTTTATTCAGACATATATTATTGTGTACATTTTATGTGTATTGTGTAAGTAGATTATTTGAACATTTTAATGTATAAAGTCACATTGCATAAAAAAGGAAAAAGAAATTTTATAAACTGAATAAAATACTTTATTAGTTCTACCTTATACTTTGGCTACGTTTCAATATTTTCAGTACTGGCAGTAAATATCGGAATGTAGCTTTTGATTGTAATAAAAATTAAAATATCAATATAATTTGTAAGTTCTTATATATAAAACTAAAACTGACTGATTAAGAATAATTATTATTACAAAATGAATTTTTATATCTGCAAAATATTTATATAACTTTTCATAATGCACATTATAATTTTATTAATATAATTGGCAAAAATATAAAAGCAATTAATTTCTATTTTTTATAATGAAGAGTAATACGAAGGGTAATAAGAAAGCGTATCTGGGTTGCTGTTTTACAATAAGCTATTATATTTTGCAATAGAATATTTGGTTGTAATGATCATGATTGAGCACGCTACGTACATCACGATATATCACGCAATATTACATTTATAATAGTTACGATATGCAGACACTAAAGAGCAAACCAGTACTCTTGCGTGATGTTTTCTGCGTATACACATACTGGGTGCCTCATACTTCTTAACTACATCTATTATTTAGAATGTATTATAGTCAATGATGTAAAATTTCAACAATAAACAAATGGAGTCAATGAAAGAATTAAAAAATTCAGAAAGAGAAGCATTTATTTTAACTATAAATAAATATATGGAGATATTAAGAAAATAATTTCTTCATATTATAACAGAGTTAATATACAGATAAAAATATTGTTCTAATTTTCTTTTAATCTAATTTTGAATTTCAAAATTCTTAAATACTTAAAATAAACAATGATTAATTATGATTTAGATTGGATTGTTGCCTAAATATTACGAACTGTGACTATATATGTATCGTATGTAATTATAAATTTTACACGTAGGGGGAAAATGAAGAAATAATGTGAATCTTTATTGGATCTTATATATAATAATGTTTAGAAAATAATGTTTAGAAAAACGGTAGAAGTAAATTTTATGCTACATTTAAAATTAAATAAGTAATTAGAGAAATAAACAAGAAAATTTTAACATTATAATAATATTATTTATTTATCATAATTCTTCAGAATTTATTGATGAAATTTAATGCCACTTTGTATAAACAGTAAAATTGTGAACATTTCACACGATTACGTGTGTTAGTAAGAGGGCCAAGAACAACGAAGAGTGCGCGTAATGGTACAGCGCGCGTGTGCAGTGACATAGATCTACGATTTCAATCTTCTCTTCCTTCATCTTCTCTCTTTCGTCAACCCCTTTGCAAACTGGGCCAATGCATCTATGAGACAATCGTATAAATTTGTTCATAGTTTTCGAGTTATTCGCAACTTTTTTAGATTATTTTCGTCTTGAGTCTAACGTTTTTGTAGTCTAACGTTAGACATTTCTATTCATGAGAAACATTAGTTTCACGATATTTTTCCATTCATTTGATTAATTTGAGTTTCCTTACATTCAGTTTTCTTACAAAGATTTTCACTTTTACGAAATCTAATTAGCATCTTTAAACAGCACGGACTTTCATATAAGCGAAGCTGAAGCGGAGAACCAATCGGGATTGACCGTCAGCAGTTGTTATGTCACCGAGCGTGAGAACCGTCCGTGATCCTTCTAGGATCCTGAACATTCCCTTCCTCCTTGGCCTAAACTGGCAAGAGGGCTGGTCATAAGAAATCATCTTTGAGGGAAGGCGGAGATAATTGTGGAACTGTTCGAGGAGCGAGGGAGGGGACCGCAGAATGGTATTTCCGTTGTTCGTATCGCCTATCTGTTTGACAGGTTTGGCCAGGAGCATGCGCACAACATGTGCCCACCTACCCATCTACCTGCCTACTAATCTGCCTGCCTGGTTACCTACCTACCGGTTTACCTTGATCCCTTGAATAGGCAGTAGGTGGGTTGTTAAGTACATCTCTCTTACGTAAGCTAGTTCGTAGTCGCATATGCTGGATCAGCAAGAACGAAGAGAGAGAGAGAGAGAGAGAGAAAGAGAAAGGGAAGGGAAGAAGAATGAATATACGAGAAGATATTAGAAAAGGATGAAACGAGGATAAGTAGTTGATAATTTTCACAATAATCAATTTATTTTTTCTTTTTCGAGAATAGATTTAAAAAATTTTAAAGATTACGTTATTTTTTTTTTAAGAAATATTACTTTTTATGATAATAAATATTTGTTTGCTTTGATAAATGATAATCTCGTTAAAATTTCCAAATCCATTTGTACATATTATATTAGATATCTTCAAATTATATGTATTATAAACCCATTATTAAAATATATTATATATGCTATGATATATTGCCTATCAAGATATTCATATTATTTTCATAGTATAATTTTACTAATAACTTTTTTTTTAAATTTTTTAATAAACTAGAACATTTGCTTAGACTAGGGATATTTCCTAAGACATTTTATATTTTCATATCTTTTGCGATGTTGTACAAAGAATTGGGATAAGCAAACGCTTAATCGTTTCCAAGTATGATGACCATTAATTTTCCTATGTGCGCCACGACGTGCAAATCACTCGCTCGTGCGTTTGTAATTTCCGGGAAGAGAGCGCCGACCGGCACGCTTCCCGCAGGAACGGCGTCTGTTGTCCTTGAGGTGTTCTTGATTCTTCCTCGACAGCTCTTGTAGCAGAAAGCTTCGTTTCGCAGGGCGTGGTCTAACGATGACCTCACTGCGGCCATCTTCGACCATGGAGTTGTTTCGGAATGGTGGGTGAGGGTGAAAGTCAGGGTTGGCTTTTGGAAGAACGAAACGCATATTCTAAAGGCTTCGTAAGACGGAAATGGATGAAAAGAAACTGCCATTTTCTATCGTATATGTTTCGAAGATTCGAAGATGGAAATATAGGAAATATAAGATATATGATGAAAAATAATTGTTGTTATATAATTTTTCGTAAAGTCAAGCGTTGCTTAGAAAGAAATTTGTTTTTATTTTTTTCGAAAGTGTGTCATACAAGCAAATCGACCGTTACTGTTAATGTTGTGCTGGCATTGGTGAACACGAGGTTGCTGATGAATTGCCTGTGCTATGTTTCGAAGACTGTCTAATAATTGATATCGTCGTCGATTACGTAACTAGTCTATGTACATACACGCACCCACTATCCATATACACATACATGCGCACGCGCATATATATTTATGCACATATATATGCATACATATGTATGCATATATATTGATGATAAGCATGTCGATATCTGGTAAATTGTATTTTTATTCTTATTACTCATCATTTAAGCTTACTACACCTTTTTCTTTATCCATTATGTATAATAATCTATATTTTTGCATGACCGGTATTTTTCATCGATTTAAATATTATATGCAATAATAAAATAAATAAATACATGCATGTATATAAAAAGTGTATATTATATGTAAAAAGAATATGTGTCCATCTTAAATATATTCTATAGAGAAAGGTACGCTGACTTCAGCTCAAGAAATAACTGTGCTGACTTCAGCGCTAGAGTTCCGTTCATAAACGACGCGTGCCTTTATCCGCCTTAGTTTCTTCAAGGCCTAGCTACCCCCCTTTCGCCTCCTCTCTCTATCCCCTCCTATCAACGGATTCACTATACGTGCTTATATCACCATTCTGCTCGTCTTGCTTCATCATGGCTGCCATCGTTCTCTATTTTCTCTCTCTTTCTCGCTCATTGCTTCTTTGCATCCTTCACATGTGTCTTCTCTTCCTATTCGTTTCATCTCTGTCATCTCTGCTCTTCTCTAGCATCATATACTTCGCCTCTACCTCCTCCTGCTTCCCCTTTCAATGATCCACGGTCTTTACCGCTGTCTCTTTGCCCCACGAGCCAACCGTTTCGCAATGATGTCATCCGCGTCCCATTGGCGTCGACTTGACAACATTTTCAAAAGACTTCTATAGAAATTAATAGAAGTGCTTAGTAATGCAAATATTGACAATTATTGATTTCTGCTAAATTAAATCTATGCGATATCAAATATAAAATTTTATATATATATTATTTATATATATATATATATATATATATATATATATATATATATATATAAT